TCTCTTAAACAAAACGTTAAATAAAAAAAATCATTTTCAAAATTTAAAAAAAAAATTTTTTTTTTCTGTATTAATTTTCCTGTCCAAAACGTAATACAGAAAAAAAACACTCACACACACATTTAGTAAAAGAAAATTTTATATTTTCATAATTTCATATCATAGCAAAAATTTGCAAATACTGAAATTAATTTACTCTTTTCCTGTATGAAATGTATAAAAACTAAAAATATTTAATATTGAAATTTATTTATAAACAAAAATTAGAGATGAAATACTCTTAAAAATCATTTCTTATTTAAAATGAATATTTAATTGCATTTTCATAGAAACCACTGGTTAAGTATATTGCTGTACGAAATATCAAATGTTGAAAACTTTCCTTCTTTATTTTAAAAAAAAATTATATTTTTATTTTTCTTATCTTAATTTATTTATTTATTTTTTTAATTATATTTTTCTTTATTATCTTTTTTATTTATTTACTTATTTGGTAAAAAACAGCGTGGAGTTCGAAGTTGAAAAATTTTTAGTATTATAATTCTAAAAGTAGTGGAATAAAACGTTATTAGTTATCATGACATGTGCTTTTAAGAGGTGATCAAATAATTTTATTCTTTGTTAAAATTTTCGACAAGCAAAAAACTTTAATGTTCAGTCCAGATAAAACTCGCTGTACTTCTATCCGTGAGGGAATTAGTTAATTGGAAAACATTTTCAATATTTAGGGCGTTCAGATAATTTTCGTTTTCTAGAATACCTGCAACTAGAAAATGGTAAAATTTACCGTGTATAACACTAAAAAACTCGGTGATATGGTTTTATAATACGGGATAAAATAAGGTTATTTTTTCATGATACCTTATACTTTTTCATGATACCTTTCATGATAGCAGTGTTCCTCAACCCCCGGTCCGCGGACCGGTACCGGTCCATGGATAAATTTGTACCGGGCAGTCCATTTCATTGAAACCGAATTTAAATTCCTAGGTTTATACCCCAAATTAAAAATATCCGTGTTCCATTAAAATTTTATTTATTTAGAAAAAAGGGGCCCCCGTAGGTGGTGACATAAACTTTTTGGAGTTTGTAATGTATCATTGTCTCCGATTACCCCCAGATGGAACCGTCTCATTGCAAAGAAACAAGCTCAGGGTTCTCATTGATTTAACGTTTTAGTAAGTAAATGTTAAACCACTTTATATTTATTTTTTGGTGTAACTGTATTTTATTTTGACGCATGTTCAAATACAATTAAATAAAATTAATAATTAATTATAATCTAAAATATAAACAATCAACGCTCCCCCCCCCCCCCGGGNCCCCCTCCCCCCCAGTGAGCCGAGGTAAAATTATCAAACGTTGACAGGTCCGTGGTGATAAAAAGGTTGGGGAATGCTGCCTTAGAGCATAGCATACAAGCCATCTACTCGATTTAACTTACTTCAGTTTTTTCTATTTTTTACTAAGCGTGGGGCAAAGCGGCAAGAACTATAATTTTAAAAACTAGAATAGCCGGTAAACTATTACCATACGAAAGGAAAATTACCAAATGAATGGCTTAAATACTGTATATTTTGGTTTTTATTAAAAATTATTATTATTATGATTTTTTTCTCCTTTTTTTTCTTTACGAAACAGATAAAAATACGTAATACTCTCTAAGGCAGTGTTTCCCAAGGTGTAGTACGCGTACCCCCAGGGGTACAACAGATTAGCTGGGATTCAAAATATCTTGCAACAAACGAAAATTTCAAAAAGAAAAATATTTAAAAACAAAGCTAGCCATGAAAATTTACGATTACGTATTTTTCTATTGACTATTTTTAGCAGAGTTAACAGTTAATAATTAGTGGTGTCAACAGCCAGTTGCGATTTTTAAATTTTGTGCAATTTTTTTATAGTAANCTGTTTCTACATGTTATTTTTATTTTTTATTAGTGGTACACAGCGTTACGAAAAATTTAGAAAGGGTACGCAAAAGTCATACATTTAGGAAACACTGCTTTAATGCTCTTAATTTATTAAAATATATTATGTTAGATAGCTAAATAATTGATGTTGCTCTATATTAATCATTTGACTCATGAAATCCATTAAACACGTGTTAATTTTATATTTTCTTTATTATGTTATTTTGTAGCAAGATATTTTACTTCGTTGCAAATCTGCACTGTGTAAAGGCAATGTTCTTTAATTTTGTTGCAATACTTTTCATGTTACGGCAACATCCCAACGATAATTGCCAAACGATAGTGTTTCGTTTAGCTACCCAGTCTTAAGTAAATGCTAGATATTGCAAATGCATTTATTATTGTAAAGGCTATTTCATCGATTCCGCAATTAACAACGTATCCTTACTGATTTTATACAATCATTAAATAAACTTTTTTTTTAATTTCTGAATAACCCACAAAAATTACAAATAAGTTAGTGGTACACGACAATTGAAACTACATCATAAATAGAGATAGTCAAATCCAAGTTCTAAGATTTCATTTACTTTCCTTAGAAAGATAGTAAAATGTTACAGTATGATCTCATTTTTTGAAGGGGGGGGGGAGATTATTTCAAATTCATTTACACTCTGTCACAACAAGATCAGAATACATCTAGATAAAAAGAGAATAGAATTGATTGATAGCCACAATCATTTAAAAGCATGAGTCTGTTCTTTTTTTGCATTGTTAAATATATTCGGATCTCAGTATACTGAACAGGTGTGGCTGACCTTTTCAGTATGAATTAGTGGCTGGCCCCACTGAAGAGGGGGAGAAGTTTTGTGGCGAGATTGCTAGAACACGTTATAAAAAGTTAAGATAAGAATTAGACCACCAGGTAGAGGAAGTTACAAATTACATGGGAAATGTCAATTGGAAAAGGCAACAATTACTGAAATATTTCCATTCTAGAAGTAATTTCAACCTAATGAGTTATACTATTTATTTAAATATTCGGCTTTAATGTTCCTCTACTTAAATGTTATCATTCTGATAAAATAAAATTACTGTTATTAGCTATTACTTAAATGTTATTTTCTTTTTTAAAAAGTTAAGAATATTTTCTTTATAACCAATAGTAAATAATAATAATTTTAATTTTACCCTTAAGAGTTTTTCCATCGGAGTATGGTTTTCGACTGACTTTATTTGCAATATTTATGTATACTATGTATAATACTATTTATAACATATTACAATATTAGTCTTTACCTATGTTTATAGAGGGGTTACCGGATTTTAACCACTCTAAAAAAAAACAAGGATATTTTTGGTATAAACCACATAAAAAAAGACCGGTTAAAATTAAAAAAAGCCAGTTTTTATTAGAACTAATAAAATTTAAGAACTGTAATAATATAAAATGGTCATAAAAATTTTTAATTAATTACTACATTGATGAGATTGTATGTTAGAAACAATTTGGAGTAGCAACTTAGCCCTTTCAAAACTATTTGAAGCAATAGGCTTAACCTTGGAAGCTTCAAGAACAACCATTTTAAACTACTTAGAACAGCAATTAGAAATCAACTTATTTAACACAGCATAGGCACGTAAATGATACAAAATTAACTGTAATTACTATTTGTTCTACTTCTCATAAAAAATATTATGATTATGTCGATCAAATCATGTACAGTACCTAATTTATACCATAATCAGTCCATACCAAAACCAACCATAATCAGTACCTAATTTATCGAAAATTTAGAACTACATATGTTAAAAGTAATTGTTCCGAATTATAAACCACAATTAGGATGAATGAGAACATGATTGAAATAGGCTTAGAACAATTCCAGTGAAAAATTGTCTGGTTTTGAAGTGGATATGAAACAACAATAACATCATTCAAATTAATAACAAAATTAATAGTTTTAGCTAATTCAAATTAATAATTTCATCTATTTATGGAATAAATTTCCTTAAGAGAATGAAAGACTAATATAATAATATATTTTACTTACATTATTTTACTGAATAAAATATTTTTTCAGAAAAGACTGACTTTTTCGTAACCCTGTTTTTATTTGCTCTTAACATCGTGTTTTTATATTAAGTGTGAATTTTAACTGCTAAAAATTATCTCTAACTGCCCGCTTTTCAAAATTTCTAATAACGCTTCTCCTAAATAAAAAATTGTACTAAGAAAAAGACTTATTGCACTCATTAGAACGTTAATTTCAAAATATTTAAGTGAGAATATTATTTTGGATTAGATGGGATGTATATAAACACTGCTTTATATAAATTTTTTTCATGTTAAAAACTGTACCCATTAAAACTTTAATTTAAAATTATTTAAGCGAGTGTTTATGTTAAACACAGAACAATATGCGTTAAAAATTGCACTCATTAGAACAATAATTTCAAAATAATTAAGCTAGATAATGTTTAAAACACAGGTTATTATGCGTTTTTGCTTTTCTTCGTATTAAACTCTGTACTCATTAAAACGTTAATTTTAAAATATTTAAGCGAGAGTATGTATTATAATTAAATATGTTGTAATTTACTTTCACACTATCTGGTAGTGCATGAAGATAGAAGCATGTTGCAACAAAGGGACACGCCAACCTCTATCACTTTTGAAATATTTTCAAAATATCTTTGAAGTATTATTTTACCACATTTATTTAATCATCTAGATTTCACATTACAGAATCAAAAAATTTTACCATATGCTTGAGTTCCATGACACTCTATTATTAAAGTGATGTCTCTGAGCAGTTACTGATGGAACAACAGGCATTGCGTGAAGATGAAAACACTCAACACCAAAGGGACAAATCCCTTTACCATTTTTGAAATATTTACAATGTTTCGTGAGCAGAGATTTTTTATAATCAGCAATTAATATCTCCTTCTCCTCTTTAGAATGAACCCAATTCTTACTGGGTATGTAAAAACTAGACGGCACTCTACATTCGGGACAAGCACGAGTAACAGCAGGATCTATTGAATCTTCTTCATGACGAGAAATTCCCACTTTTCTCCATTTTATGATACAGGATAAGCAAAACAGGTGATTGCAATTCTAATACCAAAGCGACGCTCTGCAACTGGATTTTTATCTATTACAACATCTAAACATATACCACATGTTTTATCAAAATCACGAAGATTTTTGCTTTGCTCATGTCCACAGACTTCGATATGAAGACTCCGTTGCTTCTCATCGAACGGATTCAAACAATACTTGCGACACAGTTCACAGATTTCTCCATGAAGGCATGGACATTCGTCGTATGGACACACACCGTCAAAGAAATGCGGACACAATTCCATATCCAGTTTAGCTGATGGTTCAGAAGTTTGCTCATTTTTCGATGTAACATCCTCTGTAATTATTGTATGATTAAACAAGCATTCATCACCATTTTTACAGATGCCTTTCAAAAAGTATTCACAGGCAATATTTCCGATATTATCACACGTGGCATCGAGTATATATTTACAACTCATTCCATCTCGACAAGTAGAATAATAATAAAAAGGGCACACCACGTTTCCAGCATTTATTCTTGAGCTTTCAGCCATTTTACAAATTTTGCCAAAATTTTTAATTACTATCAGACGAAGCAGAACTAAGCAGATAGAAGCATATACATCGACGTATTACATGCACGATGATACGTTAGAAGTTAGAATGCGGTAGAGATGGCTAATATTTTGTACCTATTACGTATTAGGTATTTTGTACCTATTATTTAATCATACCTGTTATAAAAAAAAACGGGTTACTTCCAAAGGCCTGTTCTAAAATACTACGCGTGATCATGTGTAATACTCGTTGGAGTTGGAAGGTATGAACAGCGGTTGCAGAATAAACTAAAAAATAATAAAAGGGTTAATAAGGGATATGGTCCCCTCTTACTGATATGCAGGCCTTGCAACGTGATTTTATACTTGAAATAAGACATTCATAATTCATAATAAGGCATTCATAACACATAATAACGCATTCTTGAAATAAGGCATAAGGTTTATCATTTCGTGTTTCAATTGTCCTGAATTGTTCTGTAATAATTTCATACCTTCCGACTCAAACGAGCGTTACGCACGATCATACGTGTGTATTACAATTGCTGAATGGTTATCGATTTTGTATTGTATCAATGTATGTACATATCAAATTTAATTAAAATCGGTCCAGTAGTTCTAGAGATAATCGATCAAGTCTGCAAATTCTCTTAATTATTTACACTAGTATTACATAAGTGAATATATATTAATAATTCCGAAGGTTAATCTTAATTATGATAATTAGCGGGTATTAACTATTAAATATTATACAGAATCAGGCATTAACAAATTTTGATTTGGGGAGGGGGGGTTAGCCACAATCTGGAAAGTATGATCCCAACAGTTTAGGCAAGAAAGCGGTCGTTTTAAGCATTTGTTAGTATTATTATTCTTTTTCTTTTGAGTTGTTCGCCATTTTTCAAGAAATTTTAAATCTAATCGGAAACATTATCTCACACAATTGTACAATTTGTTTATCCAAAGAACACTGAGTGTAAAAATTAATTTTCATTGATTATCTCTTATTGTTTGTTATTTATAATTAGAAGAAGACTAAAATGTAAAATATGTGAATTTTGCATCATTTTAAATTGCAAAATTTGAATATCATTGATTACACAGTTGAGTTAAAAAATTTCAAAAAGCCATACTTTTAAATTTGCATTTCTCAAGAACACTTCAACCGATTTCATTCGAATTTTGCATTGTGTTATTTAAAATCACATAGTTTAAAATTATACATTAGTTTATGCGTCTTAGTATTCACAATTGTTTTGATCATTATTAAACAAATTAGTATAAATTAATAACAAATTATGAAAAATAATATTACATTGCATTTCCTTTAGCTAAACAAATTTTATAATTATGAATGAAAACTTTTCTAATTCGCTTAAAAAATTTTCGAAATATCAAGAAATACGTAAAAAGTAAATTTATCAAGCATAAAAAAACAAAAACAAATAATTCAAATTTATCGAACAAACTATCGGTCTAGTAGAAGAATTCAGTTTATTAACTAAAAACGTGAAAATCCGATCATGAGAACAAAATTTTTTCAAAATTGCTTTTTCCTCCTTGTTGATGAAAATATGATACTCTTAAACTTAAAAGAAATTCATGAATTTTAAAAAACTGTTTACTTGTATCAGCAGGAACTAAAAACTTCTCGCTTGAGTGGGATATGATAAGTTTTGTAACGTATGTGAAATTATGGTAAGTCTCAATTTCTGTGTTTTCATAGTTCTAAAAATAAAAGAGCGGTAATAAAATTTATAAAATTTAATTCCAATAAAAACAAATGTTGCTCCATAAACTTCAATTTAATAGCTAATTCCAATTATAAATTCATAATAGTACTCAAATTTCGTTTCGTTTAAATGACTGCGTTCGAATTAAATCATTAAATGGTTTTTTAAAATTTCAGACGTATGAAAATGATTATTATGCAATTATATCGTTAAAATACATATAAGGTATCTTAAATTTCTCAATAAAAAATAGCCTTTCTAGAGTAAAAAAATTAAAATGTTTAAAATTTTTGAAAATTATTATTGCCTTTGTGGCTCTATTTCTATGTTTTAACAACCTATTACTAATAAAAAATCACCTAATATTTTAGGCATGTTACATCGGAACAGCCTGTTATTTTGTCACAGCCGAGTATTTCGGAACAGCTGGTATTTTGTCACAGGCTAGTAGTTTGGAACAGCCTGTTATTTCGTCACAGGTTAGTATTTTGGAACAGATAGTATTTTATTACAGGCTGTTATTTTGGAACAGGTAGTATTTTGGCTGGTATAATTTGAGTATCGTAAATTAAAATGAACTGTTATCGTAAGTTAAAATGAAAAATTAAAATGCGCATAAATCAAACTAAAAATGTAAACCAACATTAAAACCATCGAGAATTTATTAGTTAAAAATCATAAGAATATTAAACAATTTATAGTGTATATTAAATAATTTTATTAAATTTTTAATTAAACATTTATAATTTTAGCAAATTAGAATATAAGCTTAGAGTTCAAAACAAGCACTTAATCGTTTAATAGTATGAAACAAAAATGAGTTGAAATGATACTAAAAATAATGCCAGTTACACACTCTGAAAACATTTCTTTAAAAATCATGACACAATGTTTATAAAAAATTTATAATAATTAATAAATAATTAATAACTTAACATTCATAACATAACATAAATTTAAGTAAATAACTTCTAACTAAAATTATTAACTAAATTAAGCTATAATTAAAAGGCATTTATGGGTTTTAAAACACCGTTTACATATAGAATTCCTTCATTTAATTTTTGATAAATTGTCTGAAATTAAATAATTTTTGCATAAATCAAGAATAACTTTTTAAAATATTAAGTAAATAACTTATAAATTAAAAATTATTCTGCAATTAAAAAAAAAAAACTCTGCGTGGGCGATAAGGGATACTCCTCCAGCACCCCTCTCCAAGCTTCATCTTAGTTCTTCACCCCTCCGATTTTCCTTCTCTGATTTTGACAGTTGAAAATTGATTAAAGATTACGCCCACTGAAGAGGGGGAGAAGTTTTGTGCCGAGATAGCTGGAACACGATTGTATTTACGTATCACTAGCACAGCAGAATGGGTTAGTGTCGACTCTCTGGGAAAATAACAGAAAATTTTGCCTTCTAACAAGTTATTCTTTAGAATTTTTTAATTTATTTTCAATACTTTATAATTGGTTTTATTAAAGTCTCAAGATATATAACTACATTATTTTCAAACGTATTTTTATATCTAATACTTCAAAAAATCTAATTTAAATTAAAGAAATGGCTGTTCAATACAAAGCAATAATGCAATTTACTGATTTCCAAAAAGGTACTGATGGCCAGAAATGTAATATCAGTGATATTTAGATTAAGTTCTTATAAGACCTCAGGTAATAAATAAAAATACTACGACTGTAGGCAGTATTTTGCTTGGTTCTAGAACACTTAAATGGGATTGAGAATGTTTCCATTAACAATGAGTCATTTGATTTACTATAAGTTTCAAAGAAACTATTTAAATCTTATTTCCTTAAATGTGACAGTACATTAAACTCTTTTTTGAATGAAAGAAGAATGACATGATATCCTAGAATCGCGGTGTTCTTCATTCACTCAAAAGTCCCTTCATTAAAAAATCTTTCTGCTTATTAGACTCTTATCCAAGGTGATCGTTATCTGGTGTTAAAAAGTTAGTGAAATATGGATTATTTCATATCAGTCAGTAAAAGCGTGTATTGCCACCATTCAGCTGAAATCGGTTGTTTATGAATTCTATAGGTTAAGAGAATGCATTCATAAAATTGTACACTTTCTTTTCAACGGGCACAATAAGTTCATCAATCATACTTCTTGTTTAAAAATTTTATTACTCATTTTGTCAAATATTATTCCTTTTGAATGGTTCATTTTTAGAAAACATGTAACCTTGGCTGTTATCTAAAGTATGTGCTTTCACGAAAATAGCTACGCGAAACCAGCAATATTAATTTCAAGGAATTCTTCCTGAATTATATTTTTAAATGGTACATTTGCGTATATGTTATGGTACATTTACGTCACGTATACAAGTTGAATTATAAATCAATTTTGATACTTTTCAAATTTTCACGAGTATGTAGCATAGTGCTGCCGAAATTAGCCTAATATTTTTGTTGTGAATAAATACTCGCTGTATATTTCTGCACTCCGCCTTTCTTTTTCTTTTTTTTTTTTTTTAAATTTGGAAGGCATATGAAAAACATTGAGCGTTTTCATGAGAATCAACTGTATTACAAGTTAAGAACATTTAAAAAGTTATTAATTTCACAATAATAAACACAGAGTACATAATCCGTAAAATATAAGTTTCGGTTATAATTTTATAAATTCCATTAGAAAAAAAAATGAAGCGTATTAAAACATTTTCTTGAAGGAAATAAAGGAACGAAATCGCACATTCTCACATCGGTATATAATTTATAGCTCAACTTTTGAAGCTTGATCATTGTGTATGATGAAATTAGCATGTAATATTAGCATGCTCCTCATTCGTGAACTCGATGAAGCACATAAAACTTGTAGACATTATCAGTTTAAATTTTTTTTTAATAAATATCGCAATATTCCTTCAAGCATTCTTTTAAAAACCAATAACGCAGTAAACGGTATATCTATATTGGATTAGAGACCATGTCAATGTTCAAATTCGTAACCTTCTAATTTTAGACCTAACCCAGAAAACAAAAAAGACTGTTTGCCGATAATCAAATTCACGATCTCCTATGTTATTTCCAAGAGAGAACTTAAGTTACAAGTATTTTTTTTCGTCTTAAATTCTCTTTCGCGTTCATAACTAATTTAAAATTAAAGCAATATAGAAAAAGTGAGTTCAGCCATGAAGTTGCAAGTACTTTTCGTCTTAAATTCTTTTTCACCTTCATAACTAATTTAAACTTAAAGCGATAAAAAAGTGAGTTCAGCCATGAAGTTACAAGTACTTTT